ACGTATTAGTTATAATTCAAAGTATGCGGTAAAAAAAACGTATTAGTTATAATTCAAAGTATGCGGTAAAAAAAACGTATTAGTTATAATTCAAAGTATGCGGTATAAAAGTAAGTATCAGTAAACCTTTTCGTAATATATTTATTGAAATACCACCGATTCCCGATAATCATAACGAGAACAAAACTTTTAAATACGTTTAGTGCAAAGCTAACTGCGCATTGATATTCCTCATTTTAAACTGATAATCTAGAGGAAAGACAGATAGTTTAGAGCACCTGCCGCTAACTCTTGAGCTACATTTTTTTGACCAAACAGTTGAATTTGACTGCACTCTTATAACCACGATTACAAAGATCAGAGCGCTTTGTTTTGTTTTTTTCGGCAACGGAACCATAAACCCTGGGATTCACAGACCGTTACGCTAACAACTAGGCCACGCTCGACCCATTTAAAAGGAAGCTAGTAAAAAAAATTCTCGGATGATGTCACTCTATTTTTTAACAAACATTAATAATTTCTCTGTAGTTGTCAATCTATATATAAAGTTTACCAATCAATGTAGCTCTAGTCTGTTTAAGGGATTCTCGAAAGGGTTTTTGAATTAAAATTAACTTTGAAATATTTTCCATCAACGATCACTGTGTTATTTTGAATTGTAAATGTTGAGTATCCTCTGCTTGGTGTTTTAAGGTTTGACTTTTATATTATTATTATTATTATTTTATTATTATATTACATTTTTATATTATTAATATGTTCGTGGTTACACAATGGGTTATCCGTGCTCTGCCCATGACGGGTATCGAAACCCGGTTTCTAGCGTTGTAAGCCCGCAGACACTGTGCCACTGGGGGCGCAAGGCTAGAAAGATATTCTTAATCAGAAAATAATACTGATGTTGCTAGTTCAGTTAATAATAATTAATCTATGCTATTCGTCATTAAGCGCCATTGTATTCTTCTCATGAAAGTCTTAGCAAAACTGGAGGTCATTTAATGAAAAGAAAAGTGTAATACCAACTTTAATGTTAACTTTTCTGTTGGTTTATTTGTTCTTATATACCCAAAGTATTTAAGTGTATTTCACTTGTATGTTGCCATTTATTCTAAAGCTCAAATATTGTATGTTATTTTCATGCATTCCCGTATAAATTAATGCGCCGTTTCACATCGAAACAAATGTGCTCCATGGTAACAGCCAATTGAAGTCGACTGTATACATCCGCAATGTAATTGAAAGAACTATTCGTGATCTTTGTCAAGATATTTTATAAATCCGATATATATATTGTTATCTTTATACGAATGTGTGTGTGTGTGTGTGTGTGTATAACTTGGAAGATCCATTAAAAGATTTGAAGTAATCCATTTCGCAGTTTTTGCGCTTCCCGAGTCCTTTATTTATTATTCCATAAAATAGTTCACAAGTTTGGTGAACTGTATCAAGTAGATTTGCTGTAATAAAGACATACAACCTGAAGAAATTTAGTGGAACCTAACATAAAGATATTACGACCCGTAAAAAAACCAGTTTTGTGAACAAATATGTTTTGTTCTTTGTTATGAATTTCGCGCAAAGCTACACGAGGGCTATCTGCGTTAGCCGTCCCTAATTTAGCAGTGTAAGAATAGAGGGAAGGCAGCTAGTCGTCACCACCCACCGCCAACTCTTGGGCTACTCTTTTACCAACGAATAGTGGGATTGACCGTCACGTTATAACGCCCCCACGGCTGAAAGGGGATTCGAACCCGCCACCCGCAGATTGCGAATCGAGCGCCCTAACCACCTGGCCATGCCGGGACATCAAATATATTTTCCACGCTACTTTTGTGTATCACAGTGGTGTCTTGATATTTACAGAAAACCAATGAAAATAGTAAACTCGTAGACGCCGAATACGGTGGGGGGGGGGGGGGGGGGGGTCCGGCCTCCTCAGGAAATGTAAATAAATGTAGGCTAATAAACTTTTCCCATGTTAATTATTTTGCCACCTCACCCTACCTTGGCGTCTATCATTATTCTCCTTTGAATTGACCATTGATACATATGCATGACTACTGCATCAAACAACAAAAAAAATCCAATCATTTTTGTCGTAGAATTTGTTTTCATCTCAGTATTTGTTAAGCGCAAAGCAGTACAATGGGCTATCTGTGCTATGTGCACCTCAGACTTAAGCGTTATAAGCCTTTAAATGTAACGCTGACCAACTGGGATTACATGTGACAGCAATTAAAAAATAATTAACTAATAAATTAGTAATAGCTGTTGATTTTCACTATCTGATGTTGTTTTAGAGAAGTGGAAAAAAATAATAACTTAATTATTGACCTCAAGTCCCGCTAAAACCCGGGATTCGATTCTCCGCGGTGGAAACAGCAGATAGCCCAGTGTGGCTTTGCGCTAAAACAAAACTTTTTATTCCACAATCTGTAGCAAATACGTAGAATTAAACAATTTATAAAAAACTTAAAGAACATTAAAGACACAAATTATAATAAAATAACTAAATGAAATTAAATGGGAATTTATAAACCTGTAAATATGGATCGTAAAAAATAGTAAAGAAAGAAAGTTGGAGATACCGTAGACACTATTTACTCAAATTACAATCCCCTATTTTGGCTCCATGCCGTTACATAAAATTACATTTGGTGGAGTCAAAATAGGGATTTGCAGTTTGAGTTAAATAATGTCCACAATATCTCTAACCTTGTTTCCTTTCTTTTTTTACTGTCACTATTTACAGGTTTTTAATTCCCAATTTTTTATTTGTCTTGTTTGCTGGCTATTTCTATGCTCAACTATGGGTAAAGGATTACTTTATCTTTATACATCGTAATAATAATAAACATAGCTAGTAGCAAGCTGATACATGAATTCATACATAATATAGGGGTTGGCTCCCTAAAGACTCCGATTGTACAGTGTAAAGAGCATTGAGTATCTACACGTTACAGTAATCTAATGCTCATCTATTATTGGTTGGTAATCCCTGTTTCACCCTGAACTTAGCGTTTTAAAGGAACACAACATATTTGCAGAAAAGCAAACTGCAAGAGTAATGATAACATCGTTTACACTAGCTAGCTCATACGGTTCATGATGATTTACTGTAGCTATTGACTATTTGATCGTAATAGTTCGAGATGTAAAATATTAAGCTGCAGCTGGAGATTGTCATGGAGATTTGTTTGTGAATATAGTGATCATTTATAGTTTCTGTGTAACTAAATTATCTATATATAATGCAGAGCAATGAGCAAATATATGCCTAGACAAAGACAGAATTCCCACTAAGCGCGCATATAAACTTTCACCAGTAGAAAAGTAGCCTTTTCAAATAAAACATCGCTTTAAATAAACCTTCGTGTATTTTAAAATAATTATTGTACGAATGTGTGTAATAAAATTTAATATTATGTGTACTGATTTCTTTAACTCCTTCACTTCGTACATAATATAGGGGTTGGCACCCTAAAGACACCGATTGTATAGTGTACAGAACACAGAGTATCTACATGTTACAGTTATCTAATATTCCTCTATTATTAGCTCGTAATTCCCGTTTCACCCTGTACACAAGCGTTTTAAAGGAACACCGAATATTTGTTAAAAAGCTAACTTCAAGGGGTAATGATAACATCGTTTACACTAGAATTGTGATCTTTTTTTAACTTATCTATAACACAGAAGAAACAAATCGACTTTTCATTACTCCTATGACCTTCACGGTACATTATTTAGTATTCTACAGAAGGTTTGGGTGCAATATACCAAGCCGTTTTTGTTGTAGGCTGGCAAGAGAATAATAATAATAAGAAGAAGAATTACAAACTGGCCGTTTTGAGCGGATTTTCTTTTCATTGTGAGTCTAACATGCGATCTTTTTTGTGCATTTTTATATGTGTACATCCTTAGCAGTCAATATTAAAGGTTCTAAAGTGTTGTTTGAACTGAATCTTTACTGTTCAAAGTGCTTTTTGCCCGAACGTTCTGTTAGGGTTTGGTGCAATCCCTTGCGATCCCTGTTATAAACCACGATAGTGGTTCATGATATTGTTAACTTCACAGCAAAAATAAGAGTATTACCTGTGGAATCTTGAAAAGTCGAAGCAAGTTTGCAACCTGTATAGAAGTAACACTAGAGGCCGCCCCAAGCACTCCTGATATCATTTTTTGCCGAATAACAGGACTTGAGCCGTCTGGACATCGGTACGTGCTGTCGTCAATATTACGTATAGAACCTACATTTTAAATATAATGAATTCAAAACACATTATCAATGATATTCTGATCAAAAGTAAGCTAACTATAGATAGATAGAAGAACTAAAAAGTAACTTAATTAATGAAATCACTTCTATTAAACTGACAAGAACAAAATAATGTCAGAATTCAATACACAATAAGATACAAACCGTTAATGACTGGAATCGTTATTCGTGTATCCTCGCTATTAACGATGTTTTTGGCCGTAATTCCAATAATGTCTCTTGAGATTGCCATCTTTGAAAGTTTATAATGGTCCTAAATTCATATTATAAGCTGATAATTAGTGGTGTAACTATAAAAAAAAAAAAATGGGTGGGCCTTACATTTACTTCCCCATAATTTGGCTGATTTGGGCCCTCGTTTGGCCCAGCCTCTCAGCTGCGGGCGAGGGCAAACTTGTGCTTGTTTGTTTTGAATTTCGCGTAAAGCTACACGAGGGATATCTGCGCTAGCCGTCCCTAAATTAGCAGTGTAAGACTAGAGGGAAGGCAGCTAGTCATCGCCACCCACCGCCTAATCTCGGGCTACTCTTTTACCAACGAATAGTGGGATTGACCGTCACATTATAACGCCCCCAGCATGTTTGATGTGACGGGGATTCGAACCCGCGACCCTCAGATTGCGAGTCGAGCGCCCTAACCATGCCGGCAATGCAAAATAATCTTCGTAAATGTAAAATTGACAATATCAGTATTCAGTGACATTGATAAGTTTGAAAAAAAAACGTTTTTATTAGCAAAACACGTGGGACATGTATTTAGGATAATTATTAAAAGATAATTGTAAAATTTTATTCAATAATTTGTTTTATGTTATTTTTCAAAGTGCATTATTAAATGTAACTATTTTGAAACACTAAGAAGAGGCTTAGCTTTTGCACTGTAATTTTAACTTGTTTTGTTTCGCCGTAACAAAATCAAAACATTTTGTGAAATTGTAATCATTTGCTCTTAAAACTATTTTACAACATTTTCGTTTCTTTAATTTGACAGGCCAATAAGCTTTGGAATGTGTGTGTGTTTGTTTTAATAGCAAAGCCACTTCGGGCTATCTGATGTGTCCACCAAGGGAAACCGAACCCCTGAATTTAGCGTTATAAATCTATAGACTTACCGCTGTTCCACGGGGAGTCAAAAATATGTATGTATCACAAGCAGTTGTTGTTGGTCATCTGTGCCAACCTCGGGTATCGAAACCTTATTTTTAGCGTCATAAGCCTACTGACTTACCGCTAAGCCACTGGGGGAAGGACTAGCATTGGAAAAGCTTGGAATTTTGTAAAAGGTATCCGTAAACAAGTGACATCGCACTTCTTCCCCCTCAGTTTACCAGCTTTTTCGTGGTTTACAGATGCTTCTAAAAATCCCAATTATCATACAGATAGATATGCCTGCGTCCATCGTAACAGTTATATCACAAAGTGGAATTAATTTCCTTCAATTTCCTATTGCGGCGTTATTCGCTACAAATTGAGGGAGGAGGGAGCAGGTGTATATTCCTAACAATAAGCCTGCAATCGAATGTCAGCCTTCAATAAACGTTCCGATCATCTATTAACAGCGATTAATGAATTGTAGCGTTGAAGCAAGTGAGTACTTTAAATTCATTTGTTGAACAGCTGCGCAACACAATTAATGCGGGTCAATTAACTTCCTAATAAGGGATGGTGAAACTGAAGTCGCATTGGGAGAATCTGGTCCGTAAAATTAATGAAATCTAATTACTGAGGTACATGTTGCCCGACGCACACACACACACACTTTACCAAAACGATTGTTAAGAAATAGGCACTTAATATTTTACAATGTAAGCAATTGTACTAACAATCCTATATCTTGAGGTTGTTCAAAATTACACATAAGTAGCTTATGAGGGCTCTGTGTAAAATAGTGAAGATTCGGGCCGCTTGAGAGTGATTTTGCATTTAAGATCAGCAAATACGACCCCCCCCCCCCGCCGCAGTGGCTTAACGGTAAGCTTGAGGAATTATAACGCACAAATTTATGGTTTGATCCCTAATGGTGTTATCAGCACAAGAAGCTCACTGTTTAGCTTTGCAACTCCAATCCTTCCAAAATGCGTTTACGAGGCATAGATGAGTTGCGTTCATTCGTGACCTTTCACTTTTAGTCATATTAACTGCCCACAACGAGTAATTTAATCACGGACGTCAAACGTGGTTGTAGCTGGTCTGTCGAGATTCAAAACGATCATGAACCTAAACACTAATATTTCTACATTTCAGACACAGTAGCAAGTAAGAGATATGTTTATTATTACTACATAAACATTGGTTGAACTAAATGCCTGTTTGTTTGAAAGATTAATTGAAAAAGTTTGTTTGTCTTGTTGAAATTCGCGACAAAGGTACTGGCGGACTGACTACCTGTGTTATCCCTAAAGAGAAGGCAACTAAGTCAAGACCACCCACCGTCATCTCCAGAGCTATTCTTTAACTAAAGAAAAGTGGGATTGACCGTCACATTATAACGCTACTATGGCTGAAAGGGCGAGCATGCTCGGCGACAGGTTTCGATCCCCAGAGTCTCCTAACCACTAGGTCATGCTAAGCCCGTCTGAAAAGAGGAGGGAAAATGTGAAATTATTACCTTCGACCGAGTTCTTTAACATTTATACGTGCTCTGTCTACGAAGTTGATTTCTACACGGAGAGACTAGGCAAGTTTGCACTTAGCACAAGAGACTCGACGTACACAACTATTTCAAAGAATGCCCACCTGAGCCTGAGTTGTGTCACCAGTTAGTTACGTTGCACTGTACGGAGCAGTTGCCCAGTTTGTCATAAAATACCTTGCGTACCAATGAATTGAAAGTTTTAATACGTCGTTTAAAATGTCAAGAGTTTTGTGAAATATTCTGCTAACTGTATCTTTATGAACGTTAAATCTATATCCCAGGTTTTTGAATGACAAAACTAGCTTGAAATTCATTACATTTAACAATAACTTCATCTTTCTTTGGTAATTTATTTAATGCTGAAGTCAGCACCATAAAAATTCTAAATCCGCGTTAGAAAAGCATTGATAGTTATAAATCTTTGTAATAATGAGTTTTTCTCATACTATACAATGTTAATGGAACTAGACATCGCATTATCAGGTCTCCAGTGCAACATTTGTTTTTCAGCGAGT